AATTGTGGGTTCACTTGTGTTGCTATAAAGAGGCACTGATTTATTTTTTTTTCTGTTTTGATAGGTGCTTTCACAATCTGCAATTGTCAATAAATGCTTACAAACTCCAGTTATATCCTTCATTAATTAGCTCCTAGGATTAGAATCACTGTTACTATGCTCCTTAAAACTAATAACATTTTTGAATTTTGTATCATAAGCAAACTTGGAAATTATGATGAGCCCTGGTCATCAATAAATATCAGAAAGAGTAGTGGTCTCAGAGATGTCTATCAGGTCAGCTTTCAATTTTTCCTTTTCGAGACCAAAGAGTCCCAGACTAAGCTTTCCAAATAGGTAACCTCTCAGTGTCCTTGCCAACAGTTATTGTTTAATCACTTAAACATCTTATATGGTCACTGTCTTATTACTGCTGTGTAAATACAAGGTTATATCTTTGTGTTGTGAAATTATTCAATTTTTATTAAGTTATATTCTAAATAATGTAAAATCTTGTAATATCATAATATTTCTTGAAACTTGATCCTTTGACATTTTATCCACTATTCCTTATTGGAAAGACAGCTGACCTTTATTCAGAGTTTTCTGACTATGCTGCATTGTAGCCAGTTTTAAAAGAGTTGATAAGGGTAATGTAATTGATGTAAATAACAGAAAGAGCAGACAAAGTAATGTAGTTGGTAATATAATGGTAAATAAAGGTCATACAATGAATTTTCAAAAGGTCTCAGTATGATAATAGATTGTACATTTTTAATTAAAATCAGAGTTTGTGGAACATGGGACAGTAGCAAAATAGATGGAAATCTGGCTACATAACAGAACATAGAAAAAGGTTTGAGAGTAGCCTGTCAGTTTCATAAAGATGGGAAGTAGTGTTGGATGAGGATCAGTACTGAAAAATGTTCCTTGAAAATTACACTGCTCTGCAGCATGTAAGTCTCATTGCAGGCCACCCACAAACTGTAAATGTACTTGTTTAGTGGATGTGGCTCATAGAGTCATACATTCATAAAGGTCTATAGCACAAAAAAACCCTTCAGCCTATCAAATCTGCGTCAGTCAAAAACAATCACCTAGCTATTCTAATCCCATCTTCCAGCACTTGGCTCGTAAACTTGTATATCTTGAGTATTACTGGCTAAGTTAGCATTTATTTCCAATTTCTAATTACCACTGACAAGTTGGTGGTAGGGCTGTACCCTGAACTGCAGTAGTTCCATGTGGTATAGTTATATCCACACTATTGTAAGGAATGAGTGTCAAACTTTTGAAACAGTGAAAGAGCAGTGAAATTTATCCCTTTAAATTACTCTGTGTCTGCAGCCATGCAAAAAATGCCATATACTTAAAGACATTGTTTGTGCTTTTGGAAAAACTGCTTGAAGCAATATTAGTGCTGGACCACTTTGTATACAATGTAAATTATTTAAACTCAGGAATTGATTATACAATTTCAAAGTTTATGCATGAAAACAATTAGTGGGTGCACTTAATACTGAGGAAAACTGTGGTGAATTCCAAGAAGCAAGAAATTGGCAAATGAGTTTCAATGTGATTAAGTATGAGAGAGGAATATTAACAGCTCATAGAGTCTTAGAGCTGTACAGCATGGAAACAGACCCTTCAGTCCAGCTCATCCATGCAGACCAGATATCCTAAATTAATTGAGTACCATTTGCCAGTATTTGGCCCATATCCCTCTAAACCCTTCCTATTCATGTACACATGCAGATGCCTTTTAAATGTTGTAATTGTACCAGCCTCCACCACTTCCTCTGGCAGCTCATTTCATACACGCACTATCCTCTGCGTGAAAAAGTTGTTCCTTAGGTTCCTTTTAAATCTTTCCCCTCTCACCTTAAACCTATGCCCTCTAGTTTTGGACTCCACTACCCTGGGGAAAAGACCTTGGCTATTTACCCTATCTATGCCCCTCATGATTTTATAAACTTCTATCAGGTCATCACTCAGCCTCTGACACTCCAGGGAAAATAGCCCCAGTCAATTCAGCCTCTCCCTGTAGCTCAAATCCTCCAACCCTGGCAACGTACCTGTAAATCTTTTCTTGATCAGACAGGCCGATGGGCCAAGGAGTGGCAGATGGAGTTTAATTTAGATATATGTGAGGTGCTGTATTTTGGAAAAGCAAATCAGGGCAGGGTTTATACACTTAATGGTAAGATCCTGGGGAGTTGTGCTGAACAAAGAGATCTTGGAGTGCAGGTTCATAGTTCCTTGAAAGTGAAGTCGCAGGTAGATAGGACAGTGAAGAAGGCGTTTGGTATGCTTGCCTTTATTGATCAGTGCATTGAGTATAGGAATTGGGAGGTCATGTTGAGGCTGTAAGTTCCACTGAGGCCACTTTTTGAATACTGTGTGCAGTTCTTGTCTCCCTGCTACAGGAAGGATATAATGGAACTTGAAAATGTTCAGAAAAGCAGACAAGTTATGCCAAAAATGTATAAAATCTTGGTTAGAGTATAATATCAAAATATCATGGACAGTGGAAATCTGAATCAAACACAGAGAATGCTGGAGAAAACTCAACAGGTCTGTCAGCATCTGAGGAGAGAAAAAAAGATTTAATGTTTCATGTTCAGTATGACTTCTTCTGAACTGAAAGGCTTTGGGCTTGATTACTCTTAGTTAGATGATACTTGGTCTATTGTGATCAGTTATGTTCTTCCTATTATTAAAGGGATGTTGAGTCACTGCAACGGGTGTGAAAAATGAATTATAATGATACCAGAAATGAGATGTTATAGTATCCAGGATATGTGAACAGGCTGGAACTTTTGTCTAAAAAAAAGTGAAAGTGGAAGATTAACCTGATAGAAGTTACTATGATAGAAGTTACTAGAAACTACTAAACTGTGAAAATTTCTGTTAATTTTAATGTCTCCTCCATTTAAGGAAGACCAAAACTAAAATGTTAATTCACAAAAGCCATTAATAAATCCAAATGGGATTTTAGGTGAAACTTCTTTACTCAGAGAGCAGCTAGAACATGGAACTTAATGCCAAAAGGAGTAGTTGAACTGAATAGCATAGATGCATTTAAGGCTAAGTGTGATAAATATGATGAGAAGGAAGTGAAAGGTTATACTAACAGGTTAGATGAACAGGTGTAGGAGGACATTTGCATGGAACATAAACTATACTATGAACTAACTGGATCAACTGGTCTGTTTTAGTATTGGACATTCAATGCAAGTTACATATAGCTTGCAAAGCTGATATACTGCCTGTATAAGTTTCCATTTTCTGGAGTGCAGACACACTTTGTTCCAGTCTGTTGCCGCTGTTTGTCCTGTCTGAGTTCCTTGGGATGTAATTGGCACAGACTCATGCATTGTCACTTGCAGCACAGTAATCTGAACAAACAAATACTATTTCATCAGTTGCTTAGCATTATACTACATTGACAATATGCCAATATGCATCGTAGTATACATTAAACAATACATCAGTTTTTAAGAGCAAGGCACTAATTTATTTGCCTGACAATACCTCATATTCATGCTCTAATCAATCTTAACAGAAAGTTGATTTACACTGATGTTTGTTTTGGTATGCATCACTAACTCTGGATTCAAAAGGAAATTCAGATAAAAAAATGATTTGGCCTAAAATGTCCAATAATTGTTTTCAACATAAAAATAAATCAGGCATTATGCCTTAGAGACAAATTCTGACAATTAGCCCAGTGTTCCTTTGTAGCATACTACAAAACAGTCATGGTATAACAAATTGAAAGAGCAAAGTGAGCTTTATTTTGATTGTGCCAACATGGAATTAAATAAATGATATTAAAAAAAAACACAAATTTGCTTTGATTCAGCATTAGAATTCAACACAAATATTGGGTTTCAACGAATTTACTAGGGGCCCATTGGGGTCACTAAATTAATTTTACATAAAACTCATATTATAATATCTTAATAACATAGAACAACAGTGATCATAATATTTTGGAAACATCCCTTTCTCTTTTTAATACCCTGTTGCACAATATCTCAGGTGCAAAAACAAATGTAGCAAGTAATTTTGAGAAAAGAAAAAAAGAATGTGGGGTTTTATTACACTTGAAGAAGTCAGTTTAATTTGGATTAATAATTTATTATAAAACTACTCTAGGAAGTAGTTTATGATAGCGTGTTCTATCAGAAATTTAGAGTCTGACATTGAATAAGCAACAAGGTTCCCGGTCTACCATTGCATTTCCCAATAAATTAATTGAACACAAACAATAATTCTTTCCAAAACCTCCTGTCTTTCTGGAAAAATGTTTTGCCTCCACTCTCTTAAATGTAGTCTCTTTGAAAAACCTGCCTAGAAGCAGTAATGTAGCAGCTGGAAAATAAAGATGACAATTTATCTATCTCAGGAATCTGTGTCAAATCACTGACTCAGCCCACAGATCTTTAACCTATTTTTACAAATTCTAATTAAACTAAATCAAAATTACAGACACATATTTCACTGTAAAAATAAATTGTATGTATCTTGTTTCCAAATTTAACCGGACATATTGAGATTATCACAATAAAATGAATAAAATCAAAAGAAAGTTAGTGGCATCGCAGTAACAGTAGTAAAACTGGAATCCTGATTAATGCTCTGAGGTCACAAGGTTCAAATCCCACCAACTGGTGGAATTTAAATTTAGTCAATAAATCTGAATTTAGTCACAATCATAGTGACCATGAAACTACGGTCAATTGTTGTCAAAACACATGTTTCACTAATGTCCTTTATAGAAGGAAATCTACTATCCTTACCTGCACCAGCCTACATGGAAGTCAAGATCCACGGTAATATAGTTGACTTTCGAGCCGTCTGAAACAGTCTAACAAGCTACACAGTCAAGGGTAATTAGGGATGGGTAACAAATTCTGACCTGGCCAGCAGTGCCCGCATCCCATGAAAGAATAAAGAAAAAAAACTGTCGTTATTAGCTCAGTAATATGAGAAATTAACATGAGAAACATGATCACCTATTATGAAAATCATAGATTTCTGGAAGATTTCCAAACAAGATTTCTTTCTTGTTCTTAAGTGCACCTGGGATCAGAGAAGACAGCTCTTGATTATCCATTTCAGTAGCATAACCCTGTAAAGTAAAGGAAGTAATGTAATGAATTATTTATCAATAAGAGTTTTAAAGTATGTAGTCGGTATCATGCCCTATGACATGATAGTGGCCCCTGAAAATAATCCAGAGGTTTAAGTTCAAATCTCATCTTGGAAACAATGAAATTTAGTAAATATGATAAATTGTGTTGTTTTGAAAATGTTTAAATATTAATGTTTTGTTTGAAGATTGGATCATTTGAGAAAAACTAAGAGATACCAGCACTGTCCTTTTTAAAAAGAATTAATTAAAAAGGACATTGGGACAAATTTTAAGGACAAATTGTGGAACTCAGGTGACTTAAATTAACTGCTTGGACTTTTCACTGGAAATCACCTGCCAGGGTTTCTGACTTTGTTTTGGATATTGATTAGCAGTCAATTATGATTCAGCCTGCTGAGAGAGAGATGTTACCCAGTTCATTTTCTGCTTTTCTGAGGAAACCTTTTTAGAGCTGATTGTGGGACCTGAAATTCTGAAGCAGCTGTTCTCCCAGTAAGCCTTTGAATTTATGACAAATCCTGAATGAATGGCAAGTGCAAAGTCCCAGTGACAACTGCATGTGTTTAATGACATCCTTCTACATTGCCAGGATGCTTAGTGAAAATCATCTTGAACATTTTAAACCTTTCCTTTTCTCCTTCAAGAACTAAAATTTATTGGCTATAGTTTTCTTGCAAAATCAATCTTTAAAAATAGTTGTTTTGTTTTTCTTTAATTGGTGTCCATGCGCTTACGTGGATTTACTTATAAGGATAAATATTTATACTTCCTCATTTTAAATTTTCTGTTAGTCAGCTTTACACATTTACTGGATGAGTCCTGTGATAACACTGGATCAGTAAAGTTTGTTGATTATTAAAGAAAATTGTTTTATACTTCCTTTACAAGTTTGAAACTTAATATCAGTAAAGTATATAATTAGCCATTTTGATAAAGAGCAGAGCATTTAAATTTATGTCGTGACCACTGAAGCAACAGTGCATTCGCTAACCTTGGTCATAATTCAGTGCTGATACTGATAAAAGACAATGAAATCTGTCATACTACCAGTAATAGCAGCTTAGATGATTAAATTCATGCAGGAAAGGGAATTTGGTCTGGCTTATGTTTGGCGCCAGCTTCGAAACACAGTTGACACTAAATGCCTCAAGGCAACAAAGGATGGGTAATAATTTCTATTATGTTAATGTTGTAAACATCCCAAAAACAAATTTTTAAAAATCTCATTCTACATATTGAAGATTGTTTCCTATTGTTTCCATTTTGAATTGCCCAAGTTTAGATGTATAAATCAAAGCTAATATTAGAGAAGAAAATAGTCTGGTCTGTTACATATCAGAAATTCCCTGCCTCCAATATACAATCTGATTATCTAAAAATTGAATTATACAAAATAGATGCAATATAGCATGAAACTGTACCTCTTTATAGGGAAGATATTAGTGCTATGAAAAAAAAAACAATAAGAACAAAAGTACTGGAAGCAGGAATGGGTTATCTGGTCTCCTCAGCCTGATCTGCCTTTCAGTATGATCATGGATGATCTTCTATCTTAACTCCACTTGAGGGAGAGAGGTCTCGAGATTGAAAAAGACCTTAAAGACAAGAAATTTCTCTTCATCTTAGTCCTAAATGATCAATCCCTTATTTTGAGACTACAAAATATAGATCTAGATTAACAGCCAGGTGAAACAGCCTCAAAGCATTTATCCTCATAAATTCATGGATATTTACAGCACAGAAAGAGACCAAATGGGCCATCATGTCCACACTCATCAACAAAAATCAAACAACACAAATCCCATTTTCCAACTCTTAGTTCATAGTCCCGGAGGCTATGACAATGCAGGTGAATATCTAAATACTCCTTAAATGTTATGAGAGATTTTGACTCAACCATGTTTTCGGGCAATGAATTCCAGAGTCCTGAGAGAAAAAGTCTCCTCAACTCCCCTCTTAGCCTTCTATCTCTTACCTTAACTCAATGCCACCTGTTCATCTGTCTACTAATGGAAAGGTGCCTTCCTATCAACTGTATCTTTACCTCTCATAATCTTATACACATCTATTAGGTCCCTTTCAACCTTTGCTGCTCAAGAGAAAACAACTCCAGCCTATCCAATTTTTCCTCATAGCTCAGACCTTCCATTAAAGAAAGTCATGCTGACTATCCCTGATCCATGTCTCTGAAAGTGCAGATATATTCTGTCTCTCAGAATTGTTTCTGATAACTTCCCCACCAGTGAGGTTAGATCAACTGGCCTCTTTTAAGGTAGCTAAACATACTGGTATCTCTTCTGTCTTTACATTAATTTCTTCTAATATTTCATAGTCCTCGACCTGATGTCTGTGGCTGTGTCGTCTTTTTCCAGTATGTAGAACAATGCAATATATTCATTGAGAACTGTGCTCACATCTTGCAGGTGCACACACAGATTATGTCTATGATCACTAATAGGGCCTATCCATCCCCTAATTATTTTCTTGTTATTTTTGAAAAAAAACCTTATGGGGTGTTCCTTCATTCTCCTCACCAATGTTTTCTCATGCACACTTTTAGCTTTTATAATTTTCTTTTTAAGATCCCCCTGCACTTTTTATTTGCTTCTCAGCACTCTGCTGTGTTGAGCCCCCAGTATCTGCAACTAGGTTCTTGTTTTTTCCCTTAACTTTAGCCTTTGTGTCCCTTGACATCCAGGGGTCTCTGCTCTTTTTTCCCATTTTTTTTCTTTACAGGAACATATTTGTTCTGGATGCTCGCTATTTCCTCTTTGAATGCCTCTGACAATTTTATTTGCAAAAAGCTGCTCCTCGCCCACTTGGCTAAATTGGATCTTGTTTTAGTGAGCTTAGCCTTTTCCAGCTTAGAACTTTTATTTTAGGCTCATTGTTATCCTTTTCCATAACTACAATAAATCTAAGATAGTAGGAACTGCAGATGCTGGAGAATCCGAGACAACAAGGTGC